GAGAAACATCGATCAGCTGCCTCCTGCACATCTCCCACTGGGGATGTGCCCGCAACCAAGGTACATGCCCTTGACCGGAATCGAACCCGGGACCCTTCAGTCCGCAGGCCGACGCTCTATCCACTGAGCCAAACATGCAAACATATTTTAAAAGAGGAGAGGAAAGGGAAATGTGTAATCCACCAAAGTGGCCCCCACGTGGTGGGGAGGCCTGAGGACTCTGTGCTCTCCAGGTATCAGGATGTTGGGCTGGGTCCAGAGGGTGCTGCCTCAGCCCCCAGGGACCCCACAGAAGACCAGGATGGAGGAGGAGGAGGGGATGGAACCAGAGCTGGAGCCCGACCTGGAGGCGGAGCTGGAATCAGCGCCAGAGCCTGACACAGCCCCCCAGGAGGCCAAGCTAGAAGGCGAGGTAAGAAGGGAAGGTGAGGGAGGACCTGCTCCACAGTGAAGATTTCAGGCTTTGCGGGTCATGCCATCTGTTCATTACTTAACTCTGCCATGGACGTGTGAAAACAGCCATTGGCAATATAAACGAATGAGCATGGCTGTGTTCCAATAAAACTTTATTTACAAAATGCGCAGCTGGCTGGGTTTGGCCTATGGGCATTGTTTGGCAGCCTCGAGAGTCTAGAATAGAGCTGCCCAAGTAGCCAGCGCATGGGCTGTTTGCTAGCAGTCCACCCTGAGACTAGGAGCTTCTAGAATGAGTCTACTGCGTCACTGAGCGTGCTGCTTAGTTCAGTTGGTATTTGTTTGGTGGTAAGACTGTCTCAGTGGGGGGTTTGATAGGCCTGGGGACCACTGGAGGGGTGTGAGGGCCCCGCCCTGGATGAGGGGCCCTTGGGGCTGGGAGAAAGGGCATGTCCCAGGGGGAAGGTGAGGCCGCCAGGATTTACAGAGACGATTGTGAGGGTAGAGTTGTTTGGTCCCGTGGGAGGTGGAAAGGTCCCTTATGGGTGGGTCAGGGGCTGCCCCTGGCGGAACCAGACTGGCCTCTCGAGGGTTTACATGGTCCTATCTGAACCCTCCAGCCTCCCGAGGAGCCATTGGAAGGGGAGGAAGGAGCTGTGGCTGCCCCCGGCCCTCAGGGTGAGTGCTGACGCCCAGGATGGCAGGGCCCAGGTGGGACGGGCTGTGTTCTCCCCTCAGCCTGTAGAGGAGCCACGAGGCTGGCATGCCCACTGGGCTCCTGGGCACTTCATAGCTGAGCTGAGCTGGAATCCCAGCCTCCTGACCCGCTTGGGGTTCTCCCCTCTCCCCTGCCTCTGACTTGATCTCCCAAACAGGGTAGAAATGGGCTCTCCAAGGCTCCAGATCTTAAAGTGTGGGGGACTTGCCTGGCCGGCGTGGCTCAGTGGTTGAGCATCGACCTATGAACCAGGAGGTCACGATTTGATTCCCGGTCAGGGCACATGCCCTGGTTGTAGGATCGATCCCCAGTGTGGAGTGTGCAGGAAGCAGCTGATCGATGATACTCTCCCTTGACCGGAATCGAACCTGGGACCCCCCAGTCCGCAGGCCGACACTCTATCCACTGAGCCAAACCGGTCTTGGCTACTCTCTCATTATTGATGTTTCTATTTCCCTCTCCCTTCCTCTCTGAAATCAATAAAAAATATATTAAAAAATGTATATCAAGTGGGGGGGCCTCTTTTTCCAGAGACCCAGAAAGCCGCCTCTACTTTGCCCTCATCCCTCCAGGCCCAGCTTGCTGTGGACGCCGGAGTGAACAGGTGCTGTACCCCTCCCCCTCCTGAGGGCCCGCCCCCCACCCAGCTAGGGAGCCATTGGGTGGCGCCCACACTGTTCTCAGAGCCACAGTCACCCCCAGGCCAAGTGTGGGGCATTTGGGGGAACTGGCTGAAGAAAGCCTCAGGAGTGGGTGGCCATCTCTAGCCACATGGGCCACGCGACCAGGAAAAGTGAGGGTGGGAGTCTCAGTGCCGGAGTGAAATGGCCAGCGCGGCCAGAACCTCCGACTTTTACATGAAATCTCAGTGAGCATGTCTGTGGCTGGGGCTGTGAGCCCAGAACCCTCATATCTAGGATGACCAGTCTCGGCCACAAGGAAACACTCCCCTCCCCCCCGCTCCACCCGCCCACCAGAAACCCTCCACCTCTAGAGCAGCGGTTCTCAACCTGTGGGTCGCGACCCCTTTGGGGGTCCAACGACCCTTTCACAGGGGTCGCCTAAGACCATCGGAAAACACATATATAATTACATATTGTTTTTGTGATTCATCACTATGCTTTCATTATGTTCAATTTGTCACAATGAAATTGGGGGTCACCACAGCATGAGGAACTGTATTAAAGGGTCGCGGTATTAGGAAGGCTGAGAACCACCGCTCTAGAGCATGGGATGTGTGCCAAGCGCAGGGTGGGGACCCCTGAGCCAGAAGAGGGGGAGGCAGGATGATGGTGAGAGCTGGCTGCTCTCAAGCATGGGCTCGGGTTGGCACCGGGCACACCCAACTCACAGAGACTTGGTGCCCCCCTTTCCAGGGAGGGAAGACAGCATGTCTGAAGTCTCCCCGGGGGGAGATAGAGGTTTGCAATTCCAACCAATTGCTTTAGGTTGGAAAACCCAGGATCTCTATTTAGTTGTACATCCACTCGGACCAGGCTGGGGCTGAGGAGGTTGAAGGTGGGCGCGTACCTCTGTCCCCCACAGTCCCAGCGCCTGGGTGCTGACCTGGCTGAGGAAGGGCGTGGTGAAGGTCATCCCACAGCCCGTCCATAGCACTGTGGCCGGCTTCGAGGGCCCCAGTCAGGTACTGCTGGGACTGGGAGGGTCGGGTGCGGAGGGGGCCCTGGGAGGCTGGCGCACCTGGGCTCTCTGCCCACAGCTGTCCGTCTGTCCGTCCCCACAGGCAGGAGCTCAGATCCTTGGGCACTGCAGCACTGGGGCCTCAGGTAAGGCCAGGAGCGAGGATGGCTTTACAGAGGTGAGGCTGAGGGGCCATTGGCATGGGCCTGGCCTTGGCTTCAAACCTGGTTTTGAATTGGGGTGACCGGGGTGCTCTGGGCAGGCCTCTTGCTGCTGACTGCCATGCCTTCTTCTGCAGTCTGCAGATGGGTCCAACGAGGCCTCCAGGGCAAAGGACACTGGGTGAGTCCCCGGCCCTGAGCGCTGGTTTGGGTGCCCCTGAGCC